TCCAGGAAATCGCCGACTTCATTGTGAAGGGCGCTGGCATGCGGCCCAAGATTGGCATCATTTGCGGCTCGGGACTCGGCTCGCTGGCCGACATCATTCAGGATGCCAAGATCTTTGAGTACGAGAAGATACCAAACTTTCCGGTGTCGACGGTGGAGGGTCATGCCGGCAAGCTGGTTGTCGGCCATCTGGAGGGTGCCATCGTGATGGCCATGCAGGGACGGTTCCACTTCTACGAGGGCTATCCCCTGGCCAAGTGCTCCATGCCGGTGCGCGTGATGAAGCTGTGCGGAGTGGAGTATCTGTTCGCCACGAATGCGGCCGGAGGCATCAACCCCAAGTTTGCGGTGGGCGACATCATGCTGATGCATGACCACGTCAACATGCTCGGCTTTGCTGGCAATTCGCCGCTGCAGGGACCCAACGATCCTCGCTTCGGGCCACGCTTCCCAGCCCTGGTCAACTCGTACAACAAGGACCTGATCAACAAAGCCCTCGAGATCGGCAAATCCATGGGCATCGAGTCGAACATGCATGTGGGCGTGTACTCCTGCCTGGGCGGACCCACCTACGAGACCATTGCCGAGCTGAAGGCCCTCCGCATGATGGGCGTCGACGCTGTGGGCATGTCCACGGTGCACGAGGTCATCACCGCCCGTCACTGCGACATGAAAGTGTTCGCCTTCAGCCTGATCACCAACAAGTGCTCCACCGAGTACAGCGACAAGAAGGACGAGGAGGCTAACCACGACGAGGTCATGTCCGTGGCCAAGAACAGGCAAAAGGCGTGCTGTGAGCTCGTCGCTCGACTGGTCCGAGAGATCCACGCACAGTCTTAGGCACCGAACGAGAGGATTTCGTTGGATTCTAAATTTAACAATAGTTAATTCTCTAGAACTTGCATTTACATTTAGGGCGCAGACATTTCACGAATTGTCCCAACATTTACAGTATAAGCATAGAAAATAGTTTAAACTAAATTATAAACAAGTAAATAGATCTAAAACAAACTCTAGCTATTCCCTCTATCTCTATTCGCTAAGTCAGCTAGTTTGAGAAATGGCAGAGCTATAGAAATTAAGTCCAAGTTGTAAAATAGCGCTTAAAGGGGAGTATCCTTAATGTCCTTGATACCAAACTGATGGAAAACGATCAGGCAAGCTGTTCTGATTACGAAAAGGTGTCACACGTCCTGATCGGACGAGAAATGTCATCATACCGCATTTAAATAAAGAACAAAAATATTAAAACAAAAACACGGCATGCTTTTTGGAGTCTCTGTACTAAAAAATAAAATGCGGCATACTTTCAGGGTGCGCGTTTCCGATTATTACAAAATAGCTTAAAATGGCTGATCCTTGTAGTCCTGGAGGTCCTTGGTGGATTCAAAGGACTCATGAGACTCTTCCCCACACGAGGACATGCATTACGTCCTGATCGGATGTGAAATGGCCAAATTATAAAAATTATATCCCTAATCCTTGATGTCCTTGATCCTTTTCTGATTGAAAACGATCAGGATTCGTGTCCTGATTACGAAAAGGTGTGGCATGTCCTGATCGTTAAACGAATGGCGAAGATATGGCTAAAAGGATATTTATTATCCTCATTGTCCTTGACGCCAAACGACCGGGGAAATTCTCCCGATCACGAAGGTGCGTGGCACGTCCCGAAAGGACTAAAACTGGCGTAGAAAACAACAAAGAAAGTGTCCTTGTTGTTGTTGTAAACATACAATTGTTGTACAACAAAAATAAAATTGTTGTACAACAATGAAGCGTTTTCACAGTGGCGCCCCCAACCCACGGCGGCCACTTCTGGAACTAAAATATCGTAGTTCGAGAAGTTACCGCTTTGTGATGGGGCGCCACTGTGAACTGTTGAAATTGTTTAGAATTTCTGTTTCTGAAATGGCCGAAAACTGGAAAATTTCCAGACCGAGTACCAGGCCAACAGAAATCAGCAGAAAGTAGCTGGTTTTTGTTTTTTCACTGTGTCAAAAGCTTGATGCTATAAAACCGAAATTCATTTGTTTAGTCGACTAGTAACTAAAAGTACACTACAGTATTTTTTGTGTGCAATTATTAATTTACTTTCCTTAAAAATCTTGGTGCATACTTTTAGTTACTTGGCGACTGAACAAATTTTTCCCGGTTTCTTTCTGTGAATTTCTGTTGGCCTGGTACTCGGTCTGAAAATTTACATTTGAGCGAAGCAATTTTGTTGTACAACAGCCATCTCGTTGCACAGTGGCGCTCCCAAACCACTACGGCCATATATAGAACTAAAATATCGTAAAATATCGTAGTTCGAGAATTTTCCGCTCAGCCTGGGGGCGCCACTGTGAATTAATACAGTTTTGATAGCATCGACAGTAGCGCAGCAATAGACCGACGACCATTGATGGAACTAAGGTAGTGTAGTTCGGAAATTTACCTCTCGTACCGGCGGCGCCACTGTGCAAGTGTTTTTGCATAGCTCCCGCTCCCACCGGGCGCTACTGGAACTAAAATAACGTAGTTCAAGAATGTACCGCTCATTGCGCTGGCGCCACGGTGCTGAACGTTATTTATGTATAAGATGCTTGAAATCTTCCAATTCTCATCCGATCTGGACGTGAGTCGTATTCTCTTAATCGGCAGGATGTCCCACACGCTAATTCGTCATCGGGTTTACGGAAAATAGCGCAAACTGCCATTTCCTGTTCGATCAGGACGTGCCACGCCTTCTCGTCAGCGGCAGAATATCCCAAATCATTTAGAGGCAAGGACAATAAGGATATTGCCTGCTCTTCTCATAGCCCAACCTATAAAACATTCCCGCAGCCCTCCGATCCAAGGCCCTCCATACCAAAAAACAAATAAATGCAGATGTTTTCTTTAAATTTATAACTTTATTTGATTTATTTTTAAGCTTGGGTTTCTTGGGAGTTTTCGTAACGAATTTTTGGTTGTTTTATAAATGTAAAAAATTAATTTTGTTGTTTAGACAAAATTAAAACAATTTAATTACTTAAAGCACTTAATTAAATTAATTAATGAATTATTAATTAATTTAATTAATTTAAATTCGTTAAAAAGATAGATTAGTTTTTTCTTTTGTTTCGTTTTTGTTTTATGAAAGAAGGTACTTGAGAATTATAAATATATGCACCTCTCGAGAGCAGGAATTTAGGAATTCCCCGTCCATCAGGCCGCATCGTTGGTAATTTATATAATTTGTTATGCGTATAAATAGTAAGGGCCTAAAAAACTTGAACGAGCATTAAGAGGGGGATATATGGGGGATTAACTAGTTGTTAAATTTGTTCATAAGTCTTTGGCGCTGATTAGGATTAAGATATATGTTTAGGAGATACTCGTACTCGTGTAGAGGAGGTAATTCATTAGATACAATAAACATAAACATTAGTTGGGACTTGGATTAGGCAAAAATACATACTTTCAAAGTTAGTTTCGGGTTAGGTTTTTTGATTAAAGTTAATGTTCGATTTGTACAGTAAATAATCATCTTCTCCTCCACCTTTATAATTTGAAATTGAATCACAAATGTCTTTAAAGTATTCATAGGCATAGATAGTGCTTCTTAGGCTAGAGTTAATCCTTCCAAATATGTTGGATAGTTTGTATGTATTTAGTGTGTGTGCGTCTTAGCTCATATGTATATGTGTGTATGCATCCCGCGTGTATGTTCGTGTGTGTGAGTATGTGGAGTATGTGGAGTGCATTGAAAAGCGATGCAGGGTATATAGATTGTAGTTTCAGTAAATTTCAGAGAGTAGTAGAGTCTACAGATTGGTTCTAGGATTCCTGGGGATGTGTACAAACGTACATACGATGTAGCACAGGCAAACAGTTCTCAAACACAACCTTTTGGCAATTACTAGTTTAAAACAATTACATATCTAGAGTCTGAGTAGAGTTGCGAAGAAAGCGTTAGTTAGGGTAAAAGTTAATGCCTCTCACTAAACTAATATTAAGCTAAACGTTGTCTCGTTTTTGGGGCGACTCTTCTTACATATCGTTTACGTTGTCATGAAACACAGCAGTTTATAATATTTACATATCTAATCGTTAATCGTATCTACTAAATTACGTTTAGGATTTCTTTAACTTTTACTAACTACGAATTCCTCTTTGTTGCTAAAATCTTAATGGAATAGTTGGTGCGTTTTTATATACATGTTGTTGTTCTCGGTCTCTAGTTATTCACGTTAGTATATTTATATGTTTATGTTTACGTTTATGTATTTTGTATGTATCTGTATGGTATCTGTATGTTTATGCTAGATTAAAGCTTATGGAGAGTTAGTAGAGTTCACTGGATGAGTTTTCACGAGTTTTCACTGATAGATTGGACCACAGTATGTAGATATCTGTGTGTGTGTGTGTGTGTGTGTAGAATCTCTGTGTGGTGGAAATTCTTGGTGGTCCTTCCCCCAAGGTTCTGCAATCCATTTCGAACAAGTTTGGACTAAAATATGTCTTACAATCTACGGTTGTATCCCCTAGAAGGTAAGCATTCTCTATTTTGGATATCTTTTAGTTTGGCAATCACTGTTTATGCTAATTTAAAACAAAAAAATACAGAAATAATGGTCAATAAATAAATCATATATTTTACTAGAACGTTGCTCACACTTCAAATAGGTAGATAGATGTAGAGGGTCGCCTTGGGCATTAAACAAATCTCGCTCTCTTGCAATAAATAACTAAAAGATTAAACATAGAAATAAGCTCTAGGACTGGGCCTGCGTCAGACATTTAAGTATGCGTTCACTTGTGCGTTTTGTTGCTAATTAATCATAAACATAAAAAAACTAAAACATTTTAGTTAACGTAAAGAATAGGGGAAACTCGCTTAGAGTTTACACGACACCTGCTGAATGCTGGGAGGGTAGGGGAGGGACATAATATTTCAATTACCTGGAAATCTCACTGGGACTAGGGGGGGACTGTTTATTTTGTAGTCTAAAAATTAGTTTGAGTTTCATTTCCTTGTTTTGGTCGTCTCTTGCCGCTGATTGCGACAAAGTCCAGCCATGTCCTTAGTTACTTTTACCCACCCTGGGCTCGTCCTGCTGCTGGTCGGTCGGGGGCGTGTTCTCCTGGGTGCGCACCAGATGCGATGGCAGTTGCATGTTCAGCGGATCATTGATCCTTCTCAGATTGTACTCCAGTTCCGCCGTCTTGCGCTTCAGCTGATTGTAGTGCTCCACATCGAATTGCATCTTCTTGGCATTCTTGTAGATGGTCAGCGAGTATTCGCGGTTTTTCACAGCCTCCATCATGTACTCCTAAGGGGAAAGACATTGTATCATTGAAGCCAGCACCTAACTATCCCCTACTTACCCTCTTGGTCACACAGTAGTAGGCGTACATGGCCATTGTCGTGCCGTAGGTTACAAAATATGTAACCGGCTCCATGATATCCCAAGAGTACTCCCACCAGGTCAATCGGGCCAAAATGCCAAACTGCACGGACATCAGGCCGAGACCCATCCAAGTCATAAAGTTGGTGCGACGAGTGGCCTTTTTGCTTAGTTCAAGTTTCTTCTGCAAAAGGGAAATACATAGATGTAAAACCACAATTTACAAACATATATTTAAAAGATAATCTTACCTCTTCGAGTGGCTCCAGCTCGTAGCGTATGCTCTCCAGTTCCTTGGCCAGTTGATTGCTCTTCTCCAGCTGATATTCGCCCACATTGAATGCCTCATAGAGCTGCCAAGAGTTATGGCCACACATTAAACTGGTAGCACTTTATGGGGGGGGAAGTATCTTGTGGCTTAATCTTACCTGAGCAATAACCTTACGCACATCGCCCACCTTGTCCATGGACTCCAGTGTGATCTTGTCACGCTTCGGTGGATTCACTTCCATAGTGCGATTGTTGATTTGTATGCTGGATAAATGGATGATCGATTAGCTTAGGGATGTGTTTCATCAGCTTTAGGTGGCGGCTCACCTAAATGTATCATCCAGCAGGCTATCGATGGTGCAGGACGAGGCAATGCGCACTCCATTCTTATTGATCACCGCCGCCCGATCAATGCCACGATCCTCCTCCCTCAGCATCGAGAGAAGATCCCCAACATTGTGCGAGATCGGTTTCAGTGCAAACTGACATAATTCGTTGCGACTTGGCAGTCGAACGGTCATGTGCGGCATACCATTCACGTACTCCACAAAGATGTCGTCTAAAATGAGAGATTTTTCGATTATCATTTGTAGATATCCATTCTCCCCCCTTCACAGCGATTTCTATAATGTAGAACACAGTTCTACCCACTCAAGTTTTAATTAATAAAAAGCCACTCAAGGTTATTTGCCCATAGAGCGAATTGCTGCTGCTGCAAGTCGAATGCAGTTAGACGCTCGCATTGTCCGCTGGGGCATGACGACGGTTAAGAGTGCAATATACCGCGGGGATTCGTAGATAGGCGGCAACAGCAGTCAGTTATGTACATATTGTGTGATCTAAATGACACACACAATAAGCGCACTGCGGAATGACAAACAATTCAATTAGCGGGCACCTAAACGCATTCCCCCTCCAACTGAGATTCGGAGGCAGCTCCATTTCGAGCAGATCCAGCAGCAGCATTGAAAAGTTTTCACTTTGTCGCATGTGGGATTTATGCAGCCATGAAGTAGCACAAACATATATCCATCTATCTGTATCGCTGCCACTCATGCAAGCAGCCAGCAACCAGCAGCCAAGATGCAACCAAACCACACACGCCAGGCAGCAGTAGGAGCCTCCTACTCTGCCATGCCACACTTCTAATGAAGATTTTCTTCTCGTTTAAATCGGGAGAGAGATAGCGCCTGGCTTTGTGGTGTTGGCGCTGGGTCTGTTCAACCCATTAGCAATTGTAGTCGGCGCCAAATGTGGGTAACTAGTGTGTTAGCCATCAGAGCAATGGCTGCTTGTAGTGGTTACAGCCATGGCTCTGTGGCTCTATGCCGCGCGCTTCTTCTACGATGATTATTTTCATGGACTTTGATTTTTGGGATTTTAAACATTTTATGTTTTCTTTTTTGCTGCTGCTGCTGCTGCTGCTGCTGCTGCTACCTTCTGCCTTCTTTTGCCTTTTGCGTTGGCCGCTTCTTCTTTTATTGATAGTTTGTGATTTTTGTTTTAATTTTCAGTTAACTTTCAGATTTTCGCGCTGGCAGACGTCTGCTCTCCGTCTCCGATCCTCCTCTCACTTCGTGGCGGTGTGTGGCGTGCGGCGAGTGTTTCATTGTGTGTACGTGGCAGCAGACCAACAAAAAACCAAAAACCAAAAACAAAAATAAAACTCAATCAGTACCAAACATGCCACAGAGATTTTTCATTGAATAAACTTGTGGCATGAAGACAGCCAAAAGAGCAGACAAAATATTGAAGTGCCCGCTCGCTCGCGTTGCTTAAACTCAATTTATTTGGAATGTTCTGATGACAGGGAAACTCTCCAACTCTCTCTATATGTGGCATGCCCGTGGAAAACACATCCAACGAACTGCAGAACGGCAGATAACATCGCTGAAAAAGTTTAATTTACAAACTATGACACACACACAGTCAGAGATACCACCGTCCAGGGGGAAGGAATGCAAAAGTTCTGTGTGGGTCTGTCCCTGATTTTGTTGTCGGGTTTTTGGTTGTGGCAAAGAGAGAACCTGTGTTCCCCTGCCTCGTATCTGTCTCCACCAGAGACACAGCCGACGTGCTAACACTGATCATATCCTGTTCTGGCAGGCAGGAGCAGCTCCTTTGATGGGGCGCCGCAACAACTTTGCCTCATCAAAACTTAATAGGCAGTTTCCGCATCCCTGCCAAAACAGGGCTAACAAGTGTCAAGCATACTCGTACATTCCTGATGGAGTTTCCTGCCCGCTTTTGCACCCCTGTGTGGCACAAACACGTGGCTGGTATGGCTCAAAATGAGGGCAGGCAGTCAGGGAGTGAAGGCAGTGTGGCCCTGCGACCACATCCGCCAGTTGGCAGCGGAAATGCAAGCGGCAATCAGCCCCAGAGCCCACAATATTATAACGAGTAAACTCCCATTTGGTACCCTTACCGTGCATCAGGATATTCTGTAATCCAACAGCAAGTGCATAGAAAACATGGATCTGATCTGCAAGGGTATTCCAGGAGTGGCTTTCCCATTTCTCGTTGTTATTATGTGTGTACCAGTCAGGGCTAGCACTTGCAATTAACGCTTATTTAAATTTAGTAGCACACTCCGTTATTTAATTGCAACAAAGGAGTCAGTAGCTACTCGTAGATACAGCCTGAAGACAGAGTTTACTCGTAGTTGGAGTCAGAAGTCAGGGTGGAGTTCGGAGTTGAATGGCATTAGAAATTACAGGGGATTAAGAGGCGGAAGGTACAAGGCCTTGGGAAAGTTCCTGGGAATAGGAATGATTGTGCCAGCACTTAGGTTTCAGTTTCCTCCGATAAGATTACACTTTTCCCTCTCTACCGTTTGGTTTCCATTATGCTCGCCAGTATTTTCAGTTCCAGTTGACTTTGCAATCTCGGAAAGAGCTCCACCCGACAAATGTGTGCCATTCTTATGGGGCTCCACTTTTCCTTCCTTGTGTGTGTGTGTGCCTCTGTGTGTGTGTGTTGGAGGCAGGAATCGCATTTGCGAGCATTTCATGATTACATGAGAGAGTCTCTCTGCCATCCCCTAGCACCCTCCCCTCCCACTTGCAACATTTTCTGCTACACATGCAAAAATCGTCCTTTGTGCAATATGAAAAATTCCAGGAACCCGCAGCCGCCTCCGTGTTTGCATATTTTTTTGTGATTTAATTTTTTGTCGCTGCCACATTTTCAACAAGACTCGCGTGCCAGTGCCACAGGCAGGATACGTATCTGCCCCGCTCCCAGGCCCTGAATGTGTGCGACTTTGTGTGTGTGGCCCACACCGGGTCCCATGCCCATGCCGCGTGCCTCTGCATTTAAATCAAATTATAAAGCCGCAGCGCAGTCGTTGAGCTGTTGGCCAGCCTTAAATGCATAATATAGTTACGTACGAGGCAAGGCACAAACTGCATGCATAAAATAAATCAAAAAAAAAAGTATAACGAACATACGAGCTTTAATTGAACGATCAAAAAAGAGGAGTTCCCTCCCTCCGCTTGGACAGACAGAGAGAGAGAGAGAGAGAGACTGACAGGAGACTGGCCCAAGGCCATTTAGCGGGTAAGTTGTTTCGGGAATTAGCAAGACACGACTACGGGGGGGGGGGAAGCCCTGTACTTTCATTTCGCTTGATTGGAGGGACAAGGCAATCTTCTCCTGTTCCATTCTGTGGCTCTCTACCTACCATTTTGTGCTGCATTTTGGTTGTCGAAAGCAGGACTCCTGCTCGTGTTCGAATTATTTACGAGCTGCTGCACGGCCACGATTGCCGTTGCTGTTGCTCCTTCCCCAGAGGTCCCACCACCTGCACCTCCACCTTTCGCCTCCATCATCGACAAATTGGAGTCTGTTTTCGCCGTTGTTTCTGCAGAAGATGCTGCCATTATTTCACTTGTACGCCTGGTGGATGGTGTGTGTTCCGGTGCTGTTGTTCTGGTTGTCTGTGTCGCTGTTAGTCGCTCGACTAGTGTCTGTTTCTTGCCCGTTGCACTCAGTCCGAGGGCTCGCAGGCGTGTCCTTAGCTCTGGCAAAGTGAGTCGCGTGATATCTGCATCCGATGCACACCCCTCCCCCACAGGTTAATGATAGGCGTGGCAGGGCAGGGCAGGGCAGGGCAGGGCGAAGGCGCAAATAGAGGCGTGACGATAAAAAAAGGTGATGGAAAAAAAGAAGAAATTAAAAAGAGAAATTTCCATCAAAAGGTGCGGTGCGCTGGCCTGCCTCCTTTTGGGGCAGGCTTAAAATGAGCAGAACAGAAGAGGCAGGCAGCCGTGCCACACAAAGTAAAAAACGAAAACAAACAAACAAACAGAAAAGCGCAGTAAAAATGATGGCACGTGCAGTTAACGCTACAAAAAATAAAATGCACATAAAAAGCAGAGTCGGAAAATGTGTTTAACAAAATATAAGGGTAAAAAAGGAATGACAAAAATGTTGATGGAGCATGGGGCACGCTCCAAGGCACGGGAAAATACAAAAAGAAGAGCTGCCTACGGACTCGTGACATCTGTTCTTTGTTGTTGTTGTTGTTGTTCCTTTCATCATTCTTATCAGGGAAAACCCCAGGAAATGGCACGCACACACAAATGAGGGGGCAGAATGGAGGCTGTGCGTAGGAGCCAGCGAGAGGCCATCAAACGAAATGCAAGGACATTAAATTTCATGACTTTGTCAGGCGACAGCCTTAAAAAAATTAACACAACGACAGTCCCGCCGATTGCCATCATGTCAAAGGCAACGACAACAGATCAGAGCGATTGAAGGATGAATGTGAGAAATGTTTGATAGACATCCAAACTGTGCGCATATTTTCCATAATTTATTCACTTTTGTGGTCAGCTTCCGAGTTCATAGATCATACTACTGCATAGATTATAATTCCACTAATGCCTTCCCCTAGTTCTGCCCCTCGCTGCTAAGCGGATAGAAGCTCTTCAGGCTGCTGCTGCTCCTTCACATTATTTCAATTCATGTATTCCTGTTTAATGAATTGTCCATGGCGCTGAGCAGACAAAGGCAAAAGATACAAACAAAAAGTTGATCTAAAATGGCAAAAGTTTTTAAAGCAAATTATGCGTAAGCCAAACAAACACACACACACACACACCCACAGAGATAAACCTTTGGATGCGCATTTAAGCTCATAAAATATTTATGAAATTGCAGAGACTGAAAACAAAAACTGGAGGAGACAAAATCTTGTAAAGTATCCCTGTTTTATGTGGCTCTTTATTTCTGGTTTTCGGTTTATTTCCGGCTTTATTTATTGGCATTGGCATTGGCATTGGCCATTGCGTGCCATAAAATCACCGACACAGAAACAGACACAGATTTCCCCAAAGCGTAATGCCTTGTCCCGAAATCGAATTGAGGCAGCCACAAATTGGGTGGAAGTTTTGCTGTACAGCCCTCAGGTTGCACAATTGTTTGGGACCGCCCCATGGCGCGATTTCCATGCAGATTTTACGACAATTCAATTCGTATCATATTTTCCAACAAATAAATTCAAAATGTTCTCGGGGAGATGAGATACGGATACACTTGCCACCGAATGGAGGCTGCTGCTGCTGCCACGCCAGGTATCCACTTAATTAATGGAGAAAGGCCGCGTGAGTGCGCTGGTTACTCCCCTTCCCACCACTTCAATTGCAGGCCGCATTTTGCTGATTCTAAGAACTCAAACAAGCGTGAGGCAAGCAGGAGGGGCAGAGCTGCTTTGTGGCAGCCACAACCGCAGCGCTAACCTCTTTTGTGTTTTTGCATTGTGCTTAGGCCTTTTAATATTTCAACGAAACGCCGTTTGCTTTATATTTTATTCCACGCCGTGTTCTCTCTCACCTTGAGCCCCATTCTATTCTGTGGTTGCTGTGGCTGTGGCGGTCCCCTCTTCATCTTCATCTTCATCTGCATCTACTGCAGCTCCTGCATCTCCTGCATATGTTCTTCATTATCCGCCGCAAAAGCCAAAGGCAATGGCAACGGAAACTGCAGAGTAATCCCCGAACTGCGGGCCAAGACAAACAGCAACTACTCGTAGAAGCACGGCACTGCCCCTGTCCCTGTCCCTGTCCCTACCCCTGCTCATTGCAAACAATAATGGACGGGGCTGGGTTGGAACAGAAGGCTACTTCAAATGCAGCTTCGCCGAGTGCGCCTGCCTTGCCGTACAAAAAGTAGGCAACGAATTTTCGCTCTTCTGTTTGTCATCCTGCTCCGTGAAGGGTATTCTGCTTTTCAGGAGCTTCTTATAACGCTGTAATTCTACAGAGTATTGTGGAAATGCTATTCTACCTTTGTTTACAAGCTATTTTCAGCGCAATTTGGACAGAGAGTACGAGTCAGATTCGATAAAGGGGAAGGAACAATTTGAAATAAAAGAATTTTCCCATGTGATACGTGAAAGTAGTTCATTAAATTATGCTTTCATCGCTTTTATATCCGAATAAAGCAACTTTTTCAGCACAAATCCAAATTTCAACCGCATAATAATCATTTGGGAATACTACATTTTGCAACAGATTTCTGGCCATAACTTTTTACTACTCATCAAAATGCCAGGGTACATAAAACACCGAGTAACCAAAGCCATCGCTAATGCTATTTGCCTCGTCAAGTGCACTGCAGCAGAGGCGCAGACACAGACACAGACACAGACACAGACACAGACACAACCGCAGAACAGAATATTTATGGCCAATACCGAAAGAAAAAAAAGAGAGAAATCCTTTTTTTAGCATTCCATTAAAAATTGAAGTGATCAGACAATGCAGGCCTATACGAGGTCATGGAATACGGCGAGTAGATAATAAAGAAGGATTCTATATGAGAGTAATGCATTTTTGATGCCTCGAAATTTGTTGCCCATCAAAATCACAGAGGATCCCAATCGATTTTGACCATAATTTAGTGGTCTGCAAAAACAATATTCTCTCTCTTTAAAACCTCCTTCCTTTGATGTGCGGCTTCCTTTGGGGCACAAACGGCAACCCACTGAAACACTGAGCCACTGAACCTTGCGGGATCCAGCCCACTCCACTGGCCCACTCGTATCACCTTGGACTGTGGACGCACAGAGCGGAAATTGTATTTTCCCTGCTCCTGCTCCTGCTCCTGCCCCTGCACTTCATGTGTAATCCTTTGGCCCCTTTGGGAAAACAAGAGGAAAACAAGAGCAAAGCCTCGCATGCCTGGGTAAACTCTTTAAGTACTTCACATGGGCGACAACGAGGACATTGAGGCTCTGTCGAGTGAGAGACGACACTACAAGTGGCGTGTCTGTCTGCGGCGCTCGTGCTCAGAGGGAGGACGGCTCGGCTCCTTGCCACTTGCCTCACTCATTATACAGATAACGCCCTCGCCATATGCCTCTGAGGGTGCCCAGAAGTTAAATTAATTGCACAAACTTTTTGCAAATTAAATGTCAAACCAAACACTACTTTATCCGTTCCCTTGCAGCACAACACAACTCCACAACAGAAGGAGGAGCAGCAGACCTCGGACAGGACTAAATATTTGAGCAATTTTCAGTTGGCAAGGAGTCCGTCCCGGCACATTTTGCCCGTCAAAATAGGCTCCGGACAGAGTCACAGCCTCTGCTATGGCGGCACGATGGGCAACGGATATTTTCGAACGTCACAAACATCATCATCGTCCCGCCAGCGGGAAAAGCGGTAAGTGGAAGACCTTCGGAGGGACTCCCAAATTGTGGGTCAAGTCTCTGGAGAGACGGAACACAGAGTTGAGGCTAATAAACTATCCTATATGTGTGTGTGTGTGTGTGTGTGTGTGTGTGTGTGTGTTTGAGGGAAAAGCCATAAAAGTTGCAGGCACATGAGGCTGCCTCTGTCTCTTTTTGCAGGCTGTCGCCTTAATCAGAACATCGATATTTGTGGCATGTGGCCATGTGGTTGGGTTTACTTTATGACTTTGACAAATAGTTGGCCAAAAACCAAAGCATTTTCTTGTAAATTTCTTGTGCTACTTAATGAACTGTGAGGAATTTTAGTCACATCAAATAGATTGCATTTTCCATGCCACAATAAATCCTTTAAAATTGAAACGTTACCCGAACTTTTCAAGGAATTAAAGCGGATACAAGTTTCCCGCAAGTTTTTCAATTCTATTCACTCGAAGGGAGAGGATTCATCATTGTTCTCCAACCAAATATGAGCGTGGGGAAGTATTTCTGTTTGCCCGAAAAAACCAAGCGGGCTCTTACCCACCAGAAAACTTTTGATGGCCAAAAAGGAATGTGTAATTCCTGCAAACATAATTACGTGAAGAAAGACGGCGAACACTTAAGTAAGGGCTCAAAATCGATTTGATTTGCAAAGTTAATTGGCAGCAAAGTAAGCAAAAAGGGCAAAGCTCTAAAGAACAGTGGGAACAGGAAACTTAAAGAAAGAGAGAGAGCGTGGGAGGACTGAAGGTTACCAGAGTAGAAGAGCTGGAGGGATTTGGCATCTGGCAATTAATTAAATGGCAAAGCCAGGGCAAGCCAGTGAAAACTAAGGCCTCTAACGGCCAGAGGACGAACCGGAAAAGGCGGCAATTAAAAATGGCCATCGTCCATCGTTGCCTACATGAGATGGATAAATGGCGGCATAGATGGCTAGGGCGTGGTCCGTAGCCTGCAGCCCAATGGGGGCAGCAGCTCGAATTCCGATTCCAATGTGCAGCCACACCACCGATGGGTGGCACGACGACGAGGACCGTGGTCTGCTGATTCTGTCTGTGTTTTTGCGGAGTGCCACAAACATTTTCCAATTAATATTGAGCGGAGCATTCTCTTTCAAGCCTTTTCAATTAAGTTTCTAGAATGCTGTTCCAGAACGTCTCCATAATTAGTTGGTTTTCAGATATTTCCTGCTGTTGCTGCTGCTGCAACACCATCCGTGGGTTATCAAGCACACCTCGTTTTTGGGGATGTCTCATCGAAATGTGTGTTGCCAAATGTGGCAGCTAACCTGGCCAAAATAGGCTCCACAACACAGCTCCCTGGGCACACGCAAGTTATCTCAGTGGCATGTCCCAAAAATTGAATTGTTC